AAATCCATTGGGAGCCTTGATGTCTTCACTGCAATATTAGTTGATCTTAGCATTTTCTTGAGCAACGGACAGTGTATAAAACAATCATTCATCCTAGTTAGAATATCTCGACGTTAGACCGCCAAGAAATGAAGACTTAAAGCAATGACCTTAAGAATCTCCTTAAATTGGTTTATAATTTAGCAGAAATACTTACTGATACGACGAATTCAGCTCAGCAACGAAACTATAGCCCGGACGACAGGACAAACAAACAACTACTTGAAGTTCAACTTCTTCAAGAACACAAACTCCACGTTGAGGAAAAACCTACAGCTCACTGCCACGTAATCGATCATCATGTTCTTAGGCCGATTCGAGGAACAGTTGAGTTGCTTGTTTTAGCTCGATGGCGTCCGCATGATTTGGTGCATATTCAAACGTGCTCCTCAATAGCCGTCATTTATGCCTACTGCTCAAAAACCATTAGTCATCATCTTTCATGTACCAGTGATAGCGGAGACGGCACATGCGATGGATGATGGTATCCGTAAGGAAACAACTAAAAAAGGCATGACAGGAGTGTGTCACACAATTGCGTGCGATTTCTGAAACAATTTTAAACATGCCGAACGTTGACCAGGGACTAACGTTCCCTATTGATTGTGTATTTAAGGACATGCTGTATATCTGTGACGAGGATCGAAGAGTAAGCTGGAGATGGATATCAGAATGAAGGCAATATTTACAAAAGACTGGTCATAAGATTGTTCATATTTTTGATCACGTCATTGACACTTTCAGACGTTTTTTTTTTTTTGAATTTTGCCACCTCGGTATGGCACCTTTGTGCAGAGGTCATATACACCATACGTGTACTAGTGACGGTGTAAGCATATCTGACTGGAACAGTGAAACTGCTGCCACAGTCCTCCTGTTCAAATTGACTGCATGTGAATATCAGACGAATGACTTTTAACGCCCTACCTGCACCAGGATTGGATCACCTACGGTTTATCTCACCCCGTTGTCCTTCGCGCGAATTGACATGAGTCAAATTTACAAGAGAGGATGGTTTTTTCAATTGCAAGGCAAGACAGATGGCAAAGTTACGAGATGGAAAAGTAACTATTCCGGTCAAAGGCGCATCTTGCACCCGAATTACAGTCAGTAGGCCAACACGGATTGGTCCCTAAAAATGAACGTATAATCCGCAAGCTCAGAAAAGGATCAGTTAGCGCTGGATGGAGAAATTATGTAGATATTAAGATTATAATATCTCTTGCAGGCTGTTGTTGCCATTTGTATGTACGCTGTGCTTGCAAGTAAAGCCTTGTGACCATATTCGGTGTCCTGTTTGCTACCAACCCCCAGCAGTATACGTTCGACCCAATTTCAACGTTACTTCAAAGGGCTTGAACAACGATATCTTGACTGATGGTAAGGAAGGAACTCTAGCCGAAATTGCAAGCTCAGCAGCTTGCTGGAGCAGCGCAGGAAGTTCATTTAGTTACGCGTGCAAGTAATAGTATTTTGTACGGATTAGGAGTTCCAAGGATGGCAACTGAAGCACAGAAGAGTGCCAATACAAGCGTATGGTAAACGTTTAGATAGGAATGGAGTCCCAACTACCAATCAGAAACTGTCAATCCGGCAGACAAACTATTTTTTAGAAAAAAAGTATGACAGTTTCAAGACTGTACAATGGTCAGATTAAACTATATGATTCGAGAACCAAAGTTTCCTAAGGTTGAAGTAAATACTTGACGGACCGTCCTCAATGATTCTCCACAGATCCTGGCAATGAACCCAAAATTCACCTCCGAGCTCAATCTATTGAGATAAATGTAAACCGGATGATTACTTTGATTGATAGTGGGACGGCGCAGACTGTAATTTGTGAGGACTGCGCGACAACGCTGATATAAAGGTCTGAGGATGGATCCAGTGACATCAAAGCAACTATCCGGCTGATGGCTTCGCGTATGACTATCATTGGCGCAACACAATTCCGCCGTGGATCGAAACAGGTTTGGAGGCATAGCTATAGTTTGCCAAGGGAGCTAGTTGACCCCTATATACTCGAAATCGAATTCCTGAACAAATTTAAATGCAGAATGAATTTTCAACCGGAAGCGATTGCCCTCAGAAAGTAGTCATTCAAACCATGAACCTGGAAAGCCACGAGGCCGCGGAGGGTCGAATTAACTCTGGTGTTTGAAGCCATTGTGACGATCACACCTTAAGCAATTAAGATACCAGTAGATTCAATACGACTTGAGGCAATTATGGTATCAATTGAGTCAGGGCAGAAAGAAGGAGTAGTCGAGCTGACGGAAGTACCCTGCTGGTAGCTTAAGCAGTCCTGACGAGGGTTGGTTGTCTAATTCCCTTCAGCCGAGTCGAATGCAATTCTGCTAGCAATAAGCGTACCAGCAGACTCTGCAGAATATCAACTCTTCCGGAGAACATGCCGCAGGAGCTAGTGCCAATGTGAGAACTGGTTAAAGAAGTAGTTCATAACGGATTGGAAGATCTGTTAAAGAACTATGGGAATGTATTCGCTCTAATAGTAGTAAGAGCTTCGCGTACCAAGCTAGTCAAACGTCACATTGATACCGTTGATGATTGGCCAATCACACAGGAGACCTGTACAAAATACATACCTGTAAAATGTAC